GATAAAAGCGTCATCCAAGCATCATATTTGTGGTGTTAAAACAAACTGTACAATTGCACAGTGGGCGTGTGTGTGTGTGTGTGTGTGTGTGTGTTGGTGTCCCACTTAGTTGGCTGCTTCAGAACTGGGGATTTCCTACACATATGGAAGATTATCAATTTCATAGTCTAAAGTGCATTGCATTTTTGTAGTTATTATGTATTTCTACAGGTTCAAACAAACAATAAGACAACACAAATACTCTATCATGGACACAATGTAACATCGTGAAAAACAACAGGAATTAACATATACAGTATAATAACCCAACTACCTAGGCTATACATTGTTATTCAAATGATACAAACTCAAACTAACAACGGTAACATTTCAGCGCTATTTTTTATCAGCTGACCGAGTACACTGTCAATAATTAAGTCTAAAGTCTGTTTCAAGCTTCACTTTACACAGCAAGAGTCAAAATGTGCACTGAATACGATATCAGGCTCAATATCTAATTTCTGAATATCAAAACATGACTCATATCTTCTAGATATATCTTCCTTGTTTTTAGGATGCTGTGCAACACAGTGCTGTTATTTTACTGGGGAACTGTATGACACCCAATGAGACAATATAAATCAATACACACTCTCATGTACAAGCATCCTACAATACTCAGTGTCTTCAATTTGGTACAAAGCAGCCTAAAATTACAGATGCATTAAAACCTATCCTTGTGATTGAGTCTGAATATCAGCACTGGACAGCTCCCGATTCTTGCTCAGTGCATTGTGTCTGTTTAGTGTCTAAACCTACTAGAACTAGGTAAACCAAGGTGACCACCTCACCCAGATCCCTGCAAACGTGGTTAATAATCCTCTCATCAAGAGATGCTTACTGACTCTCCAAGTTAAACTGCTAGCTAACTGAAAGATATCTAAATGGTTCTAGATGTTGAGGCTGAAATGAGGCGACAGGGTTTCAAATTTAAATAGACAAGGATGTCTATTTAGAGAATTTACAGGTGTGACAATGGGCACTCAAGTCATTTAAAGTTGGGAGACTTCCATAAAGTTGGGAGACTCACAAATCAAATCAGCAGAGGCTGACCTTTAGTTTCTAGTATTGGTCAAGATCCAAAACTGCTGGATCCAGCATTTCCTGTGATGCATTCCCACAGTACATTGCCATTAGTCTTCATTAGACCTCCCTGCCCCCAAAATGTCCACTTCATCCACACATAGTTTGAAATGCTCACTTTCTTTTCAAAATGTTCTCAAGCTAAAGACGATCAGGGTTATCTGTAACCATGTTAAAAAATGTTTTAACTGATTTACTTAGAGGTTGGTACGTAGCCCTTTTCTATTCTGAGAAATATAATATCGTATAATGAGAAGCTACAGAGAATTCCCTATTATATAATATAGTCACCCCCAACTGTAATAAATTAAAAGGCAAGACAACAACCCACAAAAAGTCTGCTGGGATTTCCCAACAACAAAGAGCTTTCAAAACTTTCCGCATGGATTTCCTTCAAAGATGGATGCAGTTCTTTTTCAGTCCGATGCTAATTTGGGTTTACACTGATTAAGCTGTCCATCGTACCACCAAGAGACCTCTGTGTATGTGTGATCCGCTGTGTGCCTGAGCACATGTGAGCGGAATCTCTAAAGCTTAGGGAGACACACCGTAAGCAGCGCCGCTGATTCACAGGGAGGACGACATGACAGAGCTGTGGAGAGCCCGTGACAGAGTGGGGATTACAGATGGGAGAGGGATCCTCCTCGTTCTGTCAGCAATTAGCAAGGAGATAACTTGCAAAACAAGCTCGGTGATTCTGTCATCGGCTCGGTCCTGCAGGTGCACGGAGGGAAGGCAGCAAATTGAATGCAGAAATGAAAACAGGATTGAGTAATGAGACATGATGAGGAAGAGTTTTTGACTCCTGTCAGCAGTTGCGTTCTTATGAAGGCAAAACATTTCACAAACTGATACTGCAGCATCCTGTTAACACTGCTGAAGAATGGCAGTTGCTTTGAAATCCTGTCATGGAAAAAGATACTTTATTGCCCACATGACGACAACATACTCAATATGGCAAATTCAAGCCAGTGAATTGCACCATGTGATGGCACTAAAACCTAAAATAAGCAAAGCACAGTGCTGTTAAATATATATTCATTCCCCATAATGCAATGTAGCTTGATAACATTATGCTACCTATTGGCAGTTTGGCCTCTCACAGTGGCTAATAATCTCCATATCAAGTGTTAGCCCTGCTGGTCTTAGGTTGTGAACTCTCAGTAAGCTGACAAGAGCAGCTTTTGACCCTCAACCCCGAACCAGCAACCAGGCGGATCAAGTCCGAAGGGAGACAGTGGCCTGACAATGATCCTTCGCCCCAGGCTTTGCGCTGTCACAACATACACACCAACACATTATGTTTACTTGAGTTCCTTATAAGCGAGTTTCAATGCACTAGTTTCTTTTCTTTTTTTTAAACAGAGGGGGAAACCGGTCTCCTAGGTCTGTTGAAAGGTAGCAATCCATCTGCCAGCAACTCCAAAGCTCACTATTTAAGGTTTCAATGTTCATTTATTGTCATTTTGATGCTCTGAAGATGGGTACCAATGATGGACAGTTTGAATAACCACCTGCAGAGCCTTTCCATAATGTTTCCAGTCAGGATACTTTCTATTGCTCCTCTATAAAAGTTGACAAGAACCTGGCAGGGACACTTTGCTGTCTTATTTCCTGTTTTTTACATACATACGAAAACCGAAGTGTAAAAACGACAATTTACCATTGTTTGGTTGTGTGCCAACGGTTATGGCAGCAGTTGCAACCAAGGAGAACTCCAGGACAAAAATAGTCACATGACCCCTAATTGAACCAAGAATTATTGTTGTGCTTCGGTTTTTGTATAGATTAATAAACAAACCAGATATAGTGTGTAAATTTGTGAAGATCAGAGGTGTTGCTGGACTTTGTTACTTTTGGATAGAGCCAGGCTGGCTTTTTTCTGGTGTTTCCATGCAGTGTTGGTGCTAAGCTAAGCTAACCTGCTCCTGGCTGTAGCTTCATATTTACCGTACAGACACGAGGGTGTCAGTCTTCTCATGTAACTCTGTGCTAGAAAGCGAATTTGCGTATTTTCCAAAATGTAGACAGAATGTAGATATATTTTTATAGCCTACAATTTCAACTGCAAAATGGTGGCCATAAAGTATATTATGCATACAAGAAGGGTGTGAGACATGACCAAAAATCTAATGTGATGGTTAGATTATGTGACTGAAATGTAATCTTGTTTTCCCCCTGGACGTTGCTACATCCTGTCCAGTGACACCACAGAAAGATGTCTCCTATTTGTGAAACAGAGGTTAGACATCTTGAGATGCTCTCAATTTACATTCATATCAACCACTAGAACCACAAACACAACTAATGACTATGTGCAACAGTTCCCAGCACTCTCCATATCTTCTTCCCACTACAGATATGAGCAAAAATAATCAATTGCACCACAGTAGAGTAAATAAACTTGAGCCAATACGACTGCAGCTAATCAATAAGATAGCCTTCAGGTGCAGCTGAAAATGAGTCTGATGAGGAATGCAGTGTCATTCTGGGAAAACTCATCTTAACAGGGGATGCACAGGCATGCACTCAATTTAACTTGAACATAAGAGTGGAGTCAGATGCTCTTTCCAGCCACATGGAAAGGAAGTCAGTCTTATAATTAGACTAAATCATGAATGGGGATTTGGTAAGACTGGATGAGAAATGTTTCCAATAACGAAATGGCATGTTTTTGCTAAAAAAAAAAAAGGTCAGTGAGTTTCAGTTCAGATTTTACTCTTAGTCTACGCATGTGAGTAATTTAGCCTGTGGCACTTAATGTTCTCATGCGTTAGACTAAAACTGCAATCATGGCATAGAAAATCCATTCGATCAGCTGTCAGACACAAATAACAGAATCAGTGGTCAGTCTCAGTGTGTGATGCAAAATATAAATACAGCAAACGTCGACTGAAACTGATGTGACCCTTTCCTCTGAGTCTTACAGTGTGCTGTTTTACATATTTTTTTCAGCCGCTGGCAGTCCTCTCACAGCAGCCGTCATGCGTTACTTTTTTTCCCCCCATTAAATGCCAGCCACTGCGTCTGTCTGCACCAAAACAACTCGCTGCTCAGAAGCTCCGGCTGAACAGCCCAAATGGTGTAAATAAACTGGGCGCACCAGTGTCACATTTTACTACGCCTGTAGCTGCTACATGTCACAGATTACGCGCAGACACGTACACCTTGAGTATCCCCGCGGTCCCCCAACGCATCAATTTGTATGGCCAAAAAGCGGATTTGGGGACCAACGATGTCGAGCGTCGCAGAGAAATCGATGACATCATGTCTGTGGGGGGAAGATGTAGTTTTGTGAGCCGTGAAAACAGATGCTCGTCTGGCCTCTATGCAGAGTTTGAGTATTTTATGCGGGGAGGGAGAGAGGGTGAATTGAGGCGACCGTGCCTGACACACACTCAGACGCGCGCACACACACACACACACGCGCACACGTACACATATAAGCTTTTGGCTACTACCTGTCCGTCTTTGAACAAATAGCCCTCTTCCCTCCCCACACAAGCGCAATGGCGCACTGTGATGAAATAATCACATTTTTCCGCAATTTCTGGGCAGCTGTAGCAGTTCGGTGTGGACACATTTGGGTAAGGGCATGGGAAGTGTTGCAAAAAAAGCTTTAAATGTATTGAATGTATTGAAAATGCAGAGGCAGGGATATGTGTCACCACATAGCGGAAACTGTGAGGTGAGCGTAATGGCATCACCACGGTGCTGATTTTCACCCCAGTCATGTCCACAACAACGGGTTATACCAGGTGACAATCAAGAGGAGGTTAGAAGACTGAGTGACTGGAGAAAGTGAGAGGAGCTGGAAACACCGTGCTTTTGAGCTTTCAACTGATTCTTTTAAAGGCAGAACTTGAAGTTTGTCTTACCTCCACACTTGTCCCAACTGAAAGATGTGTATGACGGTCTGCCAGACCCAGACAGAGAGGCGGCAGCACCTGTCTCTTTGCAGACTGGCTGTTCTACGACTACTCAGCCCCTCCACCGAGCCCAGTCCGCCCCCAGTGTAATCCTGCACAAACCACCTGAAGCTCAGGATCTGGACCAGAACCGAGGGCACCAGCACGAAGAACAGGGTCAGGCCTGACCACAGGAAGTCCTGCTTGTGATAATAGTCGACGGCCAGCCACAAGTCGGTCCCCACGTCCCAGAAAAAGACAAGCAGTGCCAGGATGATCCACAGGCAGTCCAGCCAGAGGCGCTCCTCCTGCGGTGGCCGCGCCGCATCTCCCCCTTTCCCCTTCCCCCGGAGGTAATGCAGGCAGGCACTCCGGCAGCCCCAGTAGCACGACGAGGTGTTGCAGCAGTGGCAGATGTGGAATGAGCTGCTGTTCCGATTGTCGTCCTCCCCCGTCCCCACCACCTCGTCCAGGTTGTGCAGCTGGGCGAAACCGGTGACGACCCCGCGACCATCGGATTTCGCTGCCATCTTTCCCTCTGATGTTCCCACCTCCTCCGGCTTCCGGGGTTCGTGACGACACTTCCCTGACACCTGTTTTGCACCCCAAATGTTGGAGCCATCTAAAAGCGGGGTGTCAGTGCGTCGCCATCGCTCACTCTGTCCTCAGATAGCGCACCAGTGGCGCCACGGACGCAGCGCATCTTGCCTTGCTTTCCCTCTACTGCAGATCTATGCCCTCCTGATAACAGTAATCTAATCTACAAGTTCAAACTATTTCATTTGGGACTCATGCATCCAACTCTAGTCGACCAATTTGTACCTGCGTTTCAATCTCTTTCCCTGCTGCGCATTTGTTTCCCCTCGATGCAGCTCTCCTCCAGCTGCAAGCTGAGTGCCATGAGCAGACCGTCCCTCCACTGTCCCACCCCGACGTTATTCATCCCCCACCTCTCCCTTTTTTTTTTCGCTCTCTCTCTCCCTCTCTCTCTCTCTCTCTCTCTCTCTCTCTCTCTCTCTCTCTCTCTCTCTCTCTCTCTCTCTCTCTCTCTCACGGACACAGACACACACCCACACACACCGTCTCTCCCTCTCAGCGTGGTTGCCATCTAGTGTCTCGTTTGAAGCCCCCAAATATGCAGGAGAGGACTGCATGATGTAATGCAACATGCCTCATCACCACCATAGGAAGTCTTTAATGTCGTTTGAACATTTTAATCAGTCACAGGGACACTGTGCGGGGTCACTTTTTGTAAGACGGAGGAACAAGAACAAAAGCTCTCCTACTGACTAAAAGAAAAGCACCCCACAATGAGTTTATTGCTCTATGAAGAGTGTATAGTGACCATGTGCTTTTCATTATACCTGCAGATACTAAGATGTTTTCAGTATATTTGTGAAATCATATTATAGATGTATTTTCTAAAGTCAATAGACATTTCTAGCTGCATGAATGAACAATTGGAAGTTGATGTAGGAAGTTATACTAAAAGCACACTAGTGCTATAGGCAGCTTCTACACACCATGTCCTCGGGGCAAAAGACGTAATTTATCTATAGGTGGATCTACAGATCTCTAAAAATGGATGCTAAAACATTTTCTGCAGCGTTTGTTTTTCAGCAGCAGTCAAGGCGTTAAGCATTCACTGAAAAGTGACGCTTTCCCCTCCGGTAGCATGCAAAGCGCCGGTGACTCCTCTGCAGGCTCAACAACACTGTGATTAGACTGAGCTGCCATGCAGGGTCACGTCCAATGTGAGACTGATTGGCTCATGTCCGCTTCACCCCCTGCTGATCTGCTCTGCCCGCCTGTTCGGACGCCTGATCTGAACGGGAGCTGTCCAGTGCTGAAGTAGTGCTGAGCCCTCCACCTCTCTCCCTCTCTCTCTCTCTGAGGACCCTCATTGACAAATGCGTGTACTAAACTTAAAACCTATAGTTTATTTTTCTTTGTGGTCATTGTGAGTCTCTTCCTGGTTGGTTCGTTTCTCTTTGAGTGACATCTTGTAAGTGCAGGCCAGGGAGGGCCGTGACACTTTGGTCCTCTTGGCCTGTGCCGGTAAGCCCATTCAGTAATCCATCCAAATCATTCTCAGCTCACACAAAATCGCAAAAAATACAAAATAAGAGTGTAAAAGATCTCTCCATAAATAAGAAAATGTTTTCAGTAAATTAAATGTTGTATAAATCTGGCTATGAATTATATATGAACAAACTCTTCTGTATAAACCTTCAGAATATGGACAGGAATGATACTGGAAAATTTGGTGTATGTATGTGTGACTGAAGTGGAGAGTATGAGAAAACCAAATAGACAAAGTAGTAAAATAAACACCTAAATGTGTTTTATGGATGCTTTCTTTCCATTAATCTGAAAGAAGATATGTTATGGAAGCAAAATAGCCCACAATCTCAGAATTGATGGGTGCATAATAACTTTTTTGGTTGTCTCGCTAATCCTCTCTAGACATGTTTTACGACTAATGAAAAGACTCTTGAAAACTGATTTTGTGCCTTAGATATTTTTTCCACCAAAAAAGTATAATTCGATGAATGTCAAAACAGCCTTCTGGTGTCAAACATTCATTCTTCACTGTGAAACTCAAACATCCAACAAACAAAACATATTTTTGAGCGGCGGGAGACCTTAATATTATCATCATGTTCACCTCTGCTGGTTTTGTGACTAATGACAAATCACGTAGGAGCAAAATGTCAACACATTACAGAGAGGAGAAGCATGACTAGTTTGCAAGCGTTTCTCTCTCTCTCTGTACCGCCAGGACAAGAGATGCCATTGGACCAGTGAGATGGAGCCCGAAGCCACATTAACTCACATAATTATTTCTGATTGGGTTCATCGGACCAGGTCTTCTCTGGTTTCACACCAAAACACCCATATGTTTTCTCCCATTATGATATACCTTACAACGGCTATTCTCAACCACTGCCAAATAGTCAGTAAATGAACAAATATGTAGTTTTTGGTTATCTACAAAGCTAGTTGTTTTTGTATATGTGCTCAATTCACATTAATAAAAAACATAGCAATTCAAACAAAGCATAACTTCAATGAACAGTTATATTTCAATATCACCACACTAATCACGACACATTATCAGGTTATGTCATGATGTGTTTTTTTCTGAATTTATTTGGGAAGGTGGTCCTTGGAAGTTTATCAACAGGGGGCCTTAAGTTACAAAATGTTGAGAACCCCTACCTTACACTACACCAAGAACACTCTTTGTGTAATTTAAATGACAACAGTTCCAATATTTTTTTTCTTTTGAGTTATTATTGAAGCAATCAAAGGAATTACCATAATCTGCAAAAATGTGTTTTGTCCCAGTATGTCCAAATACATCATATAATATTAGCTACTTTTCAGTGTTGTCTTGGTGAATTGTTACCTTTTCAGGTGAGCAGTGGGAGAAGGAATTCCTTTTTGTTTTAGAAGTGCAAGAAAAGTGATGCTGTGATGCTGCATGAAAAGAATCAGGTAAAGCCGTTCCTCCAGGCCAGATTTAACTTGGAAGAAATTCTTCAATGTGAATACACCTGTGTGAATAAACACAAGAGAGTACGGTATCCCGTTTCATCTGAGTAGCCTTCATTTCCTCTTCTTCCTCAGGTCCTTCAGGCCTACACAATGCCTTTTGAGCAGCACACCAGATGCACGCTCAGCTTTAATATCCACAGGAGACGGCAAGCAGTTTAATGCAGCAAAATGTCTTGCAGCAATAATAAAAAATCAAAAAAATCAAATCAAATAACATCAATTTAAATCAAAATTCACATTAACCAATTTGTCACAAACCGCCTCACAGGGCAACAAACAGGCATTAGTCATTTTAAACAAAAACAAACCACAGGCCTAACATGAGTGTGTGTGTGTGTGTGTGTGTGTGTGTGTGTGTGTGTGTGTGTGTGTGTGTGAGGCAGATGGAGTGGGAGAATATAAAAGCAGACTTTAAAAGAATACAAGGCAGGAGTAGAAAGAAAAAACTCAGAGGCCTCTTGAGGAAGAGATGAATAAATCAGATAGTGTGTGTGTATGTGTGTGTGTGTGTATGTGTGTGTGTGTGTGTGTGTGTGTGTGTGTGTGTGTGTGTGTGTGT